CCACGTTGCAGGAACGTGCTAAAGCCAACTAACCAGCTGTTTGTAGTTAGAGGCTTGAAGCCGCACAAACTGTACACGTTTATAGCCCCGACTGTGCTTGTCCCCACCAGGCTCGTCTGCTGTAGCGCGTGTGGTTGTCAGAGCTCCCACAGGCTTTCTAAGGGGCTCACCTCTCCTTGTCCTCAGCAGGCTCGTAAGTGGGGTAAGACCGTGGGGCCCCGCTTGTTGACTCAGGAGAGGTTTAAGATTGCCAATGCCATGTTTCATGTGTCTGAGCTTCAAGCTCTTTGAGAGGAGATGATGACAGGCTCGCCAATCCCTCTTCGAGGTGGTGTCAGCTTCGCCGGCACGCGGCGTGCATTTTCTGATCTGATTCCTCTGTGCAGTTGCAGGCGTCACACACGCTTCAATTTTCTCCTAGCCGTGCGTGCCGTGTGCTGCTAGGCCTCTCATTCTTTTGTTGTTGCACGGGTATGTTCATCACATGTCCCGTGCATTTCTGTCGCGCGCCCCTCCGCAGGCCTACGTCGGAGGCTACGAGGTGGCTGCCGCTGCCCCGCGTGGTGCCAGGTACGTCACCACGCGAGGCAGCGGCCCAGTGTTGAGGTGGAGACATTGCGTCCGCCTCCAGTGCAGCGCCGAGGAGGAGGACGAGGACGAGGAGGAGGAGGAGGAGGACGAGGAGGAGACCCTTGCGCGCTTAGTGGAGGCATCTTGGAGCCCTCCCTGGGCAACTTTGACGGCCCTCCGTGGCGGTCGGAAGGACCTCGTCGGGCTCTGGTGGGGCCCTCTCGGGGGCCTCGGGAGCCCTCGCGTGGCATTTTTGGAAGACGTGGATCGACGAGGAGGGCGTAACTAATTGGCATACCCTCGTCGTAACCCGAAACGTCGTTCCTTGATTTCTTGGTGCCCTCTTGGGACACTCCTGGCTAATGTTGGGCGTTCGTTTGGCCGTCTCGGGACACTCGTGGGCACCTCCTGGGGCGTGATTGGGATATCTTAGAGCCGCGCTCAGGCCTTAGCAGCGCATCGGAAACAACAGTGCGAGACGGCAGCCATCATTTCATGATGTCTGCCCTCTCGGGGGCATGCGGATCCGTTGCGTGGTGGCCGTGGGACCTCGTGGACGCATGCCGGGCACCATTTTGAGCTGCCTGCCATCTCTACAGCCATTCTGGGCTTTTTGGGGCCATTTTGGAGCCATTTAGGGCCGAGAAGAACCCTCTGGCACCTCGCGACATCCTGGTCCTGACCCAAGGGGGTTGGGTATGGGGAGAGCTCAAGATACCCACTTGATAGTAGGCCGTCTAGCTCACTCCCACCCGCCCTCCCAACACATGAGTAACACCCGAGCCTGAGCATGTTCAGCGGTCGTTGGATGGGCAGCTACTGGGAACCTGCATTGACCCCATGTGCGCGACGCCGGGTCGAGGTGCGCCACGCGTGCCAGGCGCGCCACGCGCGCCAGGCACCCCTGGGACCCGAACGTGCCGCGCACGGCTGGTGCGCCAGATGCGCCACGTGCTCCGCGTGCGCCAGGTGTGCCGCATACTCCAGCCGCGCCAGGTGCGCCACGTTCGGGGCACGTGCAGAGTGTGTCAGGTGCGCACGCGCACGTGACAGCACACATCGGGAAACATGTCGGCCCCCACCATCCCTGTCGACAACCAATGCCCATCATTGTGTCTGGTGGGCCTGCGCACAGCAGGCCACGCGCAACCGCCCCCGCTGTCCCTGTCGAAAACCATTTGACACTGCTCGCGGGGTGGCCGCGCATGATCCAGATTTAGCCGCGAGGTGCATGTTGTATGGTTCTTTTCTAGGGGTGGTCACCCTGCGCACAGCAATAAATTTGCTGACACCCCCGCCGCCCCTGTCAATAACAAGACAAAGTGCTCGCTGGCCTCACGAACATGACTCAAGACTTTGCCCCAACGTGTACTTCGCATGGTTTTTAACAGGGATGGTGGTGGGGGGGCTCATCGGGTTGGCCGCTCATGCTCCAAATGTGGAGGCAGAGTGCGTTGTGTATTGTTCTTTGACAGGGATGGTGGGGGGGAGCATGGTTCCCGGTTGGACGGCGATCGCCGGGGGGAGGGTGTGTATATCCATAGGGAACAGTGATGATACACGATACCCTCCCCAGAGGGGAATAAGGGGATTGGAATACCGAGTTCGGTAAACCACCTACGCCTAGAGGGCTGGTTGGATTCCCCTCCCTGTGCCCTCTTCATCTTCTCACCCTTGAGATCTCCCCTCCATATCACTGTTCGTCCCTCTCCTTCCATCCCCCTCTCTCCCCTAACCATCTCCTTCCTCCATCCTCCTTTCTATCGCCCTTTGGGTGGGAGCACAGAGCTCACGTCCAGAGGGTGATTGGCGTTCATATGCAATGCCCCCCAGAGTTCGCAACATGGTTGAACATCAGACCGCTGCTTTGCGCCATGACTCCACGGGCTATTCCTTGCTCGCTTGACCTTCCATCGACTATCTCTCCTCGATTCTCCCTCGCCGGTGATCCCTCTCGGTTATCCCTCCTCCATCTCCCTCGTCTTCCTCGTTTTCCCCTCCTTCATTTCCCTCCTCCTCCTCCTCCTCCTCCACCTCAGCGCTGTTTTGGCAGATGCGCCTGCGGAGCCCGAAGCGAACCGATCCTCCTCCTCCTCTTCCTCCCCCTCCGATGTCGCTCAGAGCTTCTGGTCGCTCGGCTTTCGTTTCGACTTCGTGTGGCGATGCATGGAGGCGGCTCTGCCTCTGTTTGGATGCCCGGGCTTCGGGCTCGCATGGTCTGCAAGCGGTTTCGCGTCCGTCCCTCGGCGGACGTTGGAGGACATCCAAGTTCCAAGTCCCTCCCCCTCCTCCCCCTCCTCAGTCTCGGGTGCCCTCCTCACTCTCCATCTCCCTCCTCCATCCCCATCCTGCTCCATACCCCCCCCCTCCCTCCACCCCCTTCCTCCTCCCCTCGTCCTCCTCCTCCTCCTCCTCCTCCTCCTCCTCCTCCTCCTCCTCCTACTCCTCCTCCGCCAGTACGGGCCTGATCTACCTGGAGGATGCGGCGCGCGCTGTTGCCCAAGTCGTGCAAGGGAGTTGCGGGGCGCCCGCCGAAGTTCGCTGGAGCTGCCGCCGACGAGGCGTGCTGGTGACCCTGCGCAGCCTCGTGGTGGGCGGCTTCCTGCTCGCCGCCTGCGTGGAGGGCCCGCAGTCGCCAGCCTTAGCGCGCCCTCTCGGGGGCTCCGTGCCGACGAGAGTTCCTGACACGGGAGCACGGGGAGCACGCCCCTTGCCAGGGGTTGGTACCCCACCTCCCCACGCGTGGGAGAGAGCTTTTGGGGAAGTGGCGGGGGGGTGGGGTGCGCCAGCCGCCCGCTGGACGCGGTCCGAGGAGGCGGAGGAGAAGGAGGAAGCCGCCGGTGACGAGGAAGAGGAGGAGGAGGAGGAGGAGGAGGAGGAGGCGGAGGACGAGATGGAGGAAAGGGGGGGGGAAGGAGGGGAGTCAATGGGGATGTGAGTGAGGCGGAGGGGGAGGGATACGGGGACGAGGACGCGGATCCGAAGGGTGAGCGGAAGGGGTACGGGGAGGGGGATGATGAGGAATGGGAGGAGAAGGGGGAGAGAGGAGGAGGAGGAGAAGGAGGAGGAGGAGAAGATGCAGGGAATGATGCTTATGCTGATGTTGCTGTTGTTGATGATCTTGGTGGTGGTAATGATGTTGATGGTGTGTGTGATGGTGACAGTGAGTACGATTGGGATGTTTGGTGGTCATACATTGATGTCGATGATCATTATGATGGTGTTGATGGTGATGCTGATGGTGCTGATGCTGATGATGATTGTCATGAAGGTGATGGTGATGGTAATGCTTATGTTGGTGCTGATGATGATGCTGATGTCGAGGATGGTGCTGTTGCCGACGATGCTAATGTTGACGGTGGTGATGACGACGACGATGTTGATGTTGCTGGTCTGTCGATGATGTTGATGATGATGCTGACGCTGATGATGATGATGATGATGATGATGATGCTGATGCTGATGCTGATGAGCATGATGATGGTGCTGATGGTGACGTTTTTGCTGTTGCTGCTGTTGATGATGATGGTGATACTGCTCGTGATGCTTGTGCTGGTGGTGGCGATGTTGCTTATGCTGTTGGTGATGATGCTGATGGTGACGATGATAATGGAGAGGATGACGTTGAGGAGGCGGAGGATGTGGACCTGGATGAGGATGATGATGAACATGATGGTGATGCTGATGGTGATGATGATGGTGATGATGGTGATGATGAGGCTGATGATATTAATGATGAGTATGATGACGATCATGGTGATGACTTTGATGATTGTGGTGATTTGTATGATGATGGTTGTGGGGCTGCTGTTGATGATGCTAATGATGGAGATGATGATGATGATGATGATGATGATGATGATGATGATGATGATGCTGCTGATGATGATGCTGATGATGATGATGGTGACGATGATTGTATGATGATGCTCATGCTCATGCTGATGCTGCTGATGATGACTATTATGATGCCGGGAGGAGGATGCTTACGATGGTGGTGGTGGTGGTGTTGGTGATGATTGCTCTGATGTTGGCGCTGGTTCTGGAACTGTTTCTGATGCTGACGATGATGCGTGTGGTGGTGGTGAATGGTGTTCTTGTTGATGACGATAGTGGTAACTCATGATGAGGAGAAGGATGCTGGTGCTGGTTATGGTGCTGGTTCTGATGATGACGATGCGATGATGCTGGTGGTGGTGGTGAATGGTGGGAGGAGGAGGAGGAAATGGAGGAGGAGGAGGAGGAGGAGGAGGAAGAGGAGGAGGAGGAGGAGGAGGAGGGGGAGGAGGAGGAGGAGGAGGAGGAGGAGGAATGGAGGAGGAGGAGGAGGACGAGGAGGAGGAGGAGCCCCCTTCTCCTCGCCGCCCCCCTTCTCATCGCCGCCCCCTTCTCCTGGTCCTCCACCTCGGGGCGCCCCTGGCCCCGCCCAGGTGCACTCTGGCGGCGCCTACTGGTCCCACCTCCCGGCCAGCGGGGCCGGCGCGAAAGAGGAGGGGTTTCGGGCGGTGTTCGACGTTACTCCAGATTTCGTAATAAAGGGAGGGGGGTCTCATTTCGGGGGGGGTCTCTTCCAGGCTATCTTGGAGGGCCTGGGGGGGTCTGGGGACGGTGTTTTGGAGGGTTCTCCCACGGGGGGGGGTCTGAAATGGCTTGTCTGGAGGGTCCAGACCCCCTCCCTTTTATTACGGAATCTGGAGTACCTGCAGTTTTCTCGACGCCCGTCGGGAACTCATCGATCGTTTTCGGAGGTGTTCGCCAGCTTCCTGACGTGTCAGGATCGGGCCGCACGAAAGGGGGGACAGGGAAAGGGGGGGGGTACGAAATCTGCTGCACGCAGCTTCGGCCCCACCGAAGGGCCCATTCCTCGATGCATAGCCGCCTCTGGCGCCGGGATGGGCGCCGGGACAAGCAGCTGCGTGAGCTGATTATCAAACCCCCCCTTTGCTATCCCCCCCTTTCGCCCAGCCCGACAGGAGGTGCGCGTGCGGTCACGGATGCTTTCAGGTCCCGGGGGGGGAGGTCCATCCGCCGGTGGCCCGCCGGGGTGTCGCAGAGGGCCGCCTGGAGGCACCTTTGCCGTGGCCCGGTGGTGCGCCTCCAGCCGGCGGGGAGCGAGAGGGGACGCGAGAAGGAGAAGGCCGCCTTTTGAGCAGGGACCAATGCATGTTCTACGAACATTTCTCTGGACGCCCGAGATGGGCACGGAAAGACTGGGTACAATGCCCAACAGCAGTTCCTGTTCATTTTGAACAGGGCTCGCTGTCCGCGCCGCCGCGGCCTGTGCCCATTCGAGACAGAAGGCCGCCTGCCCAACAGCGGCCGCTGTCGGTTTGGGACAACTCTTGTTGTTGGGCATTGTGCCCATTCTTTCCGTACCCATTTCGGGCGTCCAAAATTTCGTGCAGAGCACAAGAGGTTGTTCAAGACATTCTTGGGTGGGCCTACAGGCATGCCAGGACGCTTCGCCACTGCGCGACTCTCGCGCCTCCTGAGAGGCTTTCTGTCTCTTCGGGGAAGGCTCGGGAGGCTTTTCCGCCAGGCCAGAGGACGTCTGAGCCCCTTCAGAGGTGGACCGCCCCCCCCAACCACACTTCCTCCCTGGGCTCGCCGCGGGTCCTCTCCACCCCCAGGCACGCGCCATTACAGTCGGGGCCCTGAAGAAGGAACCCTTTTCGTTGGGGAGGGGCTCCGCGTTCCTTAAGTGTTTCACAGCTTTCCTCAGGCTTTCCTTATGTTTTCGACAGGAAATCGAAGGTTAACTTATGGAACAAGGGGGCCTCGTTCCTTATTTTCGGTTCCTTAGGTCAAGTCCCCGACTGTATGGATCACAGATCTTTGGGTCTGGCGGGTGGGCGCGGGGCTGAGTCGCACGGTGCGCGTCGATCGCCGTGTGCGGGTTGACCCCAAAAGGGGGCCCAGCGACAAGGGGGTGGTGCAGTAGATTTGGTGCAATCGACCTGTGGGGTTGCATACACTTGGGGCATGCAGTGCATGCCGGGGCGCAAAGGTATTGCTGGATTTTCGCGTGCAATACATGACTTGCAACACGATGCAATGCAATTTCTCCGGCGCAATACAGTTGCAACACATTTGCCCCAAATGTATTGCACCTCCCCCTTTCAGCTGGACCCCCTTTTGGGTCACCCAAACGTGTGTAAGGGGGTGACTGAGCACGTCGTGTTATGCGTGGCCGCCGGGCCCGCCGCTCTCATCCGTACGCCTTATTCACTGTTGCGGTCCCTCGACGCCCCCGCCCATCTCCAGTATGAAATCGGGCCTGTCCCTGTTCCCTGTGCAGGAGGAAGATTCAAAAATAGTCAAAACATCTTCATGGGACGATGTTTGGACTATTTGTGAATAGTTTTGAACATGTCTGGACTATTTCCCCATATCCTTGTTTTCTCTGGACACCCCTCGCTTGCACTCTCCCCCCTCCCAGGCCCCCAACGTCATGGTTGTTGCTGCACTACGTCGGCGACCAGAGGTCTCGACCCCTTTCTTGGAACGGGGCTTTTCAACCTGAGTCATTCTTGAACGGTCCCCGGGCCCGGCGAGGTCCCCCAGAGGCCGAGAAACAGCAAAACACATTCCGTCGTGTTTGTTTCGCGACGCCGGGAGGGGAGGAGGGAGGAGGGAGGAGGGAGGAGGGAGGAGGAGGAGGGAGGAGGGAGGAGGGAGGAGGGAGGAGGGAGGAGGGAGGAGGAGAGGAGGAGGAGGAGGAGGAGGAGGAGGAGGAGGAGGAGGAGAGGGAAGAGGGAGGAAGGAGGAGGGAGGAGGGAGGAGGAGGGAGGAGGAGGAGGATGGAGGAGGGAGGAGGGAGGTCTGGAGGGGGGAGGGAGGGAGAGTGGAAGAGGGAGGGATGGAGGGAGGGACGGAGGGAGGGAGCGATGGAGGAAGGGAGGGATGGAGGAGGAGGAGGAGGAAGAGGAGGAGGAGGAGGAGGAGGGGGAGGAGGAGGAGGAGGAGGAGGAGGAGGAGGAGGAGGAGGAGGAGGGAGGAGGGAGGAGGGAGGAGGAGAGGAGGAGGAGGGAGGAGGGAGGCGGAGGAGGGAGCAGGAGGAGGAGGAGGCGGAGGAGGAGGAGGAGGAGGAGGAGGAAGGTGGAAGGAGGATGGAAGGAGGATGGAAGGAGGAAATGGAAGGAGGATGGAAGGAGGATGGAAGGAGGATTGAAGGAAGACGGAAGGAGGAGGAGGAGGAGGAGGAGGAGGAGAGGAGGAGGAGGAGGAGGAGGAGGAGGAGGAGGAGGGGGATGAGGGAGCATGAGGAGGAGGATGGAAGGAGGATGGAAGGAGGAGGAAGGAGGATCGAAGGATGATGGAAGGAGGAGGAGAACGCAGGCAGGACGCAGCATAGAACGACGAAGCATCCGAAAACGCGACGCCGACTATAGAAGTGACAAGGGGAGCGCGATAAGTCACCAGCACTCCGAGAAGTAACGTTCTACATAACATGCTCCTCGAGGGGGAGGCCATCGATACTTCACCCAGCTCGGGCGAACTGGGCGGCACCCGACGGGCCTCCCCACCGCATCACGGGTCCGAAGGGATCGCCCGACGCCGGATGTCTGCCCTCTGCAGGCCGCGGCCCTGGCACGCGGACGGGCCGGATCCGGGGAGGTGCCGCGACGGGCTCGACTCTCCGAGGGCCCATCCAACTTCGGAGGCTTTCCGAGGCCACCCGGGCCCCACAGAGGCCACGGTACAGGAAAGGAGGAGGAGGGGGAGGGGGAGGGGGAGGGGGAGGAGGAGGAGGAGGAGGAGGAGGAGGAGGAGGAGGAGGAGGAGGAGGAGGAGGAGTGGAGTGGAGTGGACGCCATCACGAGGTGATATGTCAAAACATAAAACCCCCCACTGCAGGGCCTAGGCGGTGGGTTGGGAAAGGCTCAGTGCACTTCGGCCGTTCCAAAACTGAAAAGGCCGAGGAGGGGAGGGGACGCTCAGAGGTGCACGTACACGTCCAACGCCTCCAGGACCAGCCCCCCCCCGAGGGGAGGGGACCCCCCTGCCACCCGCCAGGCACGCCAGGCGCTGGTCGGGGACACAGGACACCCCTCGCCACCAGGCGGGGCACCTGGTGCGAGTCTCGGGGCGGGTGCCCAGGCCTGCTCCCCCCAGTCCCCTTGCCCAAGGGGGACAGAGCAGGACTCCCCGTGAGCCTGGCCGAAGCCAGACCCCCCCTCCACACCCTGGCGCGGCCGGGGAGCCGCCGGGCCAAGACAGTGGAGGGGACCCGATTCGGCCGTAGCCGAATCGGGATTACCGTTTAGGCCCGAAGGCCGGGGTCGGTGCCCCCTACTGCCGAAACCACCCACCCGCCCAAGGCTATGCCGTGGGAGGGTGGGTGGTTTCAGCAGTGGCGCAGCCCCCTTGCAGGCCACGACTAAGCGGGTTTCAGTTCCCCCGGACGCCGGGAGGTGCCGCCCACACCAACCGGCTGCCCGCCCGGGGAGGAGGAGGAGGAGGAGGAGGAGGAGGAGGAGGAGGAGGCGGAGGAGGCGGAGGAGGAGGAGGAGGCGGAGGAGGCGGAGGAGGAGGCGGAGGAGGAAGGCGGAGGAGGAGGAGGAGGAGGAGGAGGAGGAGGAGGAGGAGGAGGAGGAGGAGGAGGAGGAGGAGGAGGAGGAGGAGGAGGAGGAGGAGGAGGGGGAGGGCCCTGCACGGTGGATCCCGTGCCAATCGCACTGGAACAGGTATCCTCCCGCCTCCGCCTCCACAGCGGCAGCATCCACAGCAGGGGCAGCCTCCCCCTCCCCCGCGGCATGCTGCCGCCAGCCTATAGGCGCTCGGTGGCAGCCGCCACCTGGCGCAGCATGGGGCCAGGCTCGCACCGCGCCCCTGGTTCCAGCAGCGACTTGCAACTGGCTGGGGAGGGGAGCGACGACACGACATCCCAATCGACCGACCCCAGAGACCTCCCCTTCTCCCGCAAGGCCTGCCTGTGCTGCCAAACATCCCCAGGGAAGCCCGTGCCATCCCCCGAATCCTCGCCCGGGGCGGAGGCACTGGAACAATCGAACAACTGATGGCCCATAGTCGGGAACTGGGACGTATACATTGCCAGTGGCGGGCTGTTTCTCACTCCCAGGACTTTTTGAGGGTTGGGGACGACGTCGGGGCGGTGTGGTGTATACTTGTTGTTCCGTTTCCCAGGAACCAGCGAACAATGTATACACCAGGGTCCCGTATACGCCAGGATCCGCGTTCCTGTGCGAATTCCGGTGCAGGGCCGGAACAGGCGTCGGTGTATGTGTATGCCGTGAGCGGCGCGAGGCCTCGCCCAGCTCTGGCCAGCTCGCCCGCAAACGACCTCCACTTCATGAGGGTGGAGTCCGTGGGGCCTGCCACCCCTGCTCCATGACTACCCGACGGCATAACTCAGGAGGGGAAAAAACACACAGACACAATTAATCGGCGATTCCCAGAAAATATGGGAAAATATGGAAAGTGGGGGGGGGAGACAAAAACCCAGAAAATATGGGAAAATATGGGGGATACTTTTATTTGTGTGTATTTATTTGTGTGTCCCAGTTCCCCTTCAATAACAACCGTGCGCCACAGAGTCCTCACGTTGAGCCCCCCATGGGCCTTCCTAGGGGCCCGAGGCCGCCCCCGTCGCGCCAAAACACAGCAGCCGGCCCTCTTCTTCTCTCGAGGCCTCTGCGGGGGATGCCGCCAGCAAGCGTGTCGTGGCCAAGGCTCAAGGCTCCTGGCCGTCTGAAGCTGCTGCAGCCGGAGCCTGCACGCCCGGGCTTCGACGGCCTTGGCCGCCTCTGCCGACGACGCCGGGTACCCCGACTTCGCGGCACTGATCACGAAGCCGAGCGGGCGGGTATACCTGGCGAAAGCCAACACAGCATCAGACACTACACCTGCATACTTGGCCACAGTCCCTATCCACTGGAACGGAACGTCGTCCATGAGGCCTCGGGGCACAACATCATCGAACTCCCGAGTCTCTGGAGCGGCCTAAGCAACAGGACCTGGATAAGAGTGGTGGCATGGCTGCACCCCGCGAGGATCCCTTGGTAGGAGGAGGAGGAGGAGGCGGAGGAGAAGGAGGAGGATGGAAGGAGGATGGAAGGAGGATGGAAGGAGGATGGAGGAGGAGGAGGAGGAGGAGGAGGAGGAGGAGGAGGAGGAGGAGGAGGAACAAAACAGACCAATGTCCGTCCTGTGTGTTTTATGGCCCGAAAGGGTCTGGGCTCGCCCCGCGCCCCGGAGGCCAGCGACGAGAGCAGCGGGAACAACAACAAGGCGCGCTCGCGCGACGCCTCCCGAGGGCGGCGGGGGCTGCCGCAGCCCACGCCGCTCTCGAGGGGAGACGATCGGGGGGGATGGGCTTCACTCAGGTATGTCCCTCTGCAGGGGGAATATTCAAAAATAGTCCCACAATAGTCTGGGAACGACGTTTCTATTATTTGTTTGACTATGTTTGAACATGTTTTAACCTTGTTTCATTTGCCGTTGAAAATCCGCCCGCAGGAGGACATGCTAGGCACAGGGGGGATGCATCGACCCCCGATCGCCCATTGATCGCCGATGCGGGTCCATGGATCGCCGATGCGGGCTCGATAGCCCTCCCGCCCCGCCCAGGAGCGTGCGGAGTCGCTATCGGAGACCTATGCCCAGACCCCCGGCGTCTTGATTTTTTCACAGCGCCGACTTCCAGAGTTCTGGACCCCTTCCCTGGGACCCGTTTTTCATGCTGAGACGTTTTTGTTCACCAGTCCCGAGGCCAGGGTAAGGGCCCCCAGAGGCCGAGAATAGAGAAAAGCCTCCAGTCGTGGATTTCCCACATCGCGAAGGGGTCTGGGTAGTTGATCTATCGGCGAGGTAGCACCGATTCCAGGTCGATGTTTCCCTTCCCTTTGCCAGAGTTCCCCGCCCCCCACACTCGGGGGCAGAAAAGAGGGGGGTGATGACTAGGGGGGCCATGATATCTCCCCAGATCTCATGGCGGGGGCCATGATATCTGGGGAGGGGGCCATGATGCCTAGGTGATATCATGGCGGGGGCCATGATATCTCCCCAGATCTCATGGCGCCCCTTCTGATTTCATCACGTCCCTAGCCCCGCCCTTGGGCCGCGCACATGCCGCCGGCCATGATTTGCACCCCTCAGGAGGGAAGGAAACACACAGACACAATTAATCGTCGATTCCTCAGAAAATCTGGGAAAGTATGGGAAGTGCGGGGAAGACAGACACCCAGAAGATATAAGAAAATACGGGGCATGTTTTTATTTGTGTGTATTTATGTGTGTCCCAGGGCCCCTTCAACCCCCCCTCGTGGACGCCCCCCTCTTGGCCGCCCCCCTCGTGGACACCCCGCGGTGGCCCCTCGGGATGTCCTCCCCGAGGGGGGGCGAGGGCGAGGGCCGAGGGCCGCTGAGGCCGAGGGCGCCCGGGGTGCCGCCTCGCTCCGGAGGGAGGCCAGCCACGCGCAGATCTCGGCACGATCGGCACAGGCACGGACAGGGAGGGCATTCTGACGTCCAAAACAGCGGCGCCTCTTCGTTGCGAGTCCGGCTAGGGGGCCACACGCGAACCCTACCCCTACCCCTACCCCCCACGATTTCTGAGGGGGAGGGTGGGGTTCACTTCGCTCGGGAGCTCCCGAACGAAGTGAACCCCACACTCCCCCTCAGAGACCTTGGGCTTCTCGTGTAAGGTTTCTCTCTTGTGGTCGAGCCCCTGCTGTACGGGTGCCTCTTCCTCCTCCGATGGTCAAGGAGGAGGAGGAGGAGGAGGAGGAGGAGGAGGAGGAGGAGGGGGAGGAGGAGGTGGAGGGTGGAGGGGGAGGAGGGCGGAGAAGGAGGAGGGGGAGGAGGAGGGGGAGGAGGGCGAGAAGAAGGAGGGGGGGGAGGGGAGGAGAACGAGGAGGAGGACGAGGAGGGTGGCGGCGGCGGCGCCCCCCCGCGGGACGAGGCCCCGCGCGGCCTGCTTGCCCGCCTACCCCCGCCGCCCCCTCGGCCGCCCGAGGTGGAGACCGTCAGCGCGTCGTCCTCCTCGGAGGCCGCCGCGCGCGCGCGCCGGGCATCGACGACGACGACGGCGGCGACGACGACGGCGGCGACGGAACACGACGACGAGGACGACGACGACCACCACCACGACGACGACAGCGGCGGCGACGACGATGACGACGACGACGACGGCGACGACGGCGGCGGCGGCGGCGGCGGCGAGGAGAAGGACGACGACGACGGCTGCGAGGACGACGGCGGCGACGGCGACGGTGGCGACGGCGGCGGCGCCGGCGCGCGCGAAGGGCTCCGCCGGCATGCTGTCGCACTACGGGGCGGCACAGCGCGGGGCGGTGTTCGCGGCCCCGCCCGTGGAGGGCGCCCCGCCGTCGTCGCCGCCGCCGCCGCCGTCGAGGTCGTCGTCGTCGTCGCCGCCGTTGTCGTCGTTGTCGTCGTCGCCGAGGTCGTCGTCGTTGTCGTCGTCGTCGTCGCCGAGGCCGTCAACGCCGAGGTCGAGGTCCGCGCGCGCGCCGCGAACGCGCGCGCGGGATCGGCCGAGGCGGCGACCTCCTCCTCCTCCTCCGCCTCTTCCTCCACCTCCTTCTCTGCCAGCTCGTCCTCACTCACTACCTGTCCTTCTCACAGGGTCTATTTCGACCCTCCCCTCATCCTCTCTCTCTCTCTCTTTCTCTCTCCGTCTCTGTCTCCGTCTCTGCAAATACTGCTTCTTGCTCTCTCTCCCCTGATCCCGCCGCCTCTCTCTCTCTCTCTCTCTTTCTCCTCCACCCTCGCTTCTCCTCCTCCCTCCTCCTCCTCCCTCCCTCCCCGTCTTCGCTGCCTCCCTCCTCCTCCCTCTCCTCCTCCTCCCTCCTTCCTCCCTCGCTCCTCCTGCTCCTCCCTCTCCTCCTCCTCCCTCCTCCCTCGCTCCTCCTCCTCCCTCCTCCCTCCTCCCCCCACGCCCGCCCCCACGGGCGGAGGTCTGGCGCTGGAGACGCCTGCCACAGCTGGAGGGGGAGAACCTCCCGGGCTGGCTCGTCAAGGCCGCGGGCGCGGGCGGCGGCGCGGGAGGGCTGCGCGAAGCCGGCAGCCATCGAAGAGGGAAGCTTTTGGGGGACCTCCTCCTCCTCCTCCTCCTCCTCCTCCTCCTCCCCGCTGTTCGTGCTCCTCTCCCTCCTGCTCTTCTTCATTCCCTCTGCTTCTCCACGTGCTCCTCTCCCTCCGCCGCGCGGCGGCAGAGGGCGGCCCGCCCGTCGCCCGGAGAGGCCCGACCGGATAGCAGGACACCAACCATACGTGAGCGTGCGGCGTGCCTGCGAAGCCCCGGGGGACGGGGCCGGAATCCTGAGCTCAGGAGGGGAAAAACACACAGACACAATTCATCGTCGATGACCTAGCATGATTCTGACACCCTCCTCCGTGTACCTATTTTGGCTCAAGATGAAAAGAGATCTTGTTGCTAATCAACACATTATCTCATCATGGTAGCGTGAGCTGGCCACTCACTGCTGCGACCCACCAGGGCCTCGCGGCGCGCGCGAGCGCCACGGCGAGCTGGCAGGGCGCGTGGCCCGAGGCGAGAGGCTGGAAGAGAGCGGCATCAGCCGCACCGAGCACAGCAGAGGCCGGTCCACCGGCAGAGGTTGAGAGGAGACCACCGAAGAGCGGCCGCAGGCGCGGCAAGAGGAGTGACGCAGCTGTTGAGAATCGAAGACGACAGTTGCAGTTCAAACGCGGCCTGAAGGACACGGGCAACAAGTTGCACGACCTCGCGTACATCGAGGACCATCCCTCGGAGAACTCGTCAGGAGCAATCGAGGAGGCGAAGAAGGAGGCCTTAGATCAGATCATAGACCTCGAGCGTACGAGACAGGAGATATCGGAGCGCAAGGAGGAGCTCGCCAGGAAGCACGCAATTAAACATGGACGAGCAAGTTCGGCAGCAGTTCGACTTACTGAGGCAGGAGTTCGCAGCCCGCATGAGTCAGACCGTCGACGAGATGAGGAGGCTCGAGAACGAGAATCAGCGGCTTCAGCAACAAGTAGCCGGAGGCCTCGCGGCGATTCCGCAGGCGATCGAGCGCATGGGCGAGCAGATCCGAGGGAGCTACGCACGCGGGAGGAGCCGCACCAGGTCTCGTCGACACGAAGGGGATCGGCAAGCCCACGACGCTAGGCGACGATCAGGAGAAGTTCGGAGCTTGGAACCGCAAGATGGAGAACTACGTGATAGGCGTGTACGGAGAGAGCTTCCGTCCTGTTCTCCGGTGGGCGGCAGAAGCCGAACGCCCCGTGACGATCGAAGGGGCACAGGAGGCGCACGGAGGAGTACCAGAGCTGGTGACCAAGATCAACCAGCTGTACGCGGCGCTGATCAGCACGACGGCGGACGGCAGCGAGAGCAACGACCTCGTGACGGGCGCGCCAGACGGGAACGGTCTCGAGGCCTGGCGGAAACTTCACCGCAGGTGGGACCCGACGACAGGTCCGAGGAAGAGGCTGATCCTGAGATCGATCATCTCGCCTCCGAAGTGCAACGCGGAAGAGCTGGGGTCCGCCTTAGAGAAATGGATCCAGCAGATAGGCAAGTACGAACGCCGCCAAGGAGAGGACGGACTGGCCGAGCTGCCGGAGGATATCAAGATGGCGGCCCTCGAGATGCTCGTGCCTCAGGACATCGAGAACCACCTCGTACTCAACAAGCATCGGCTCGTAACGTTCCAGGACAGTCTGAACGAGGTGATGACGATCGTGGAGGCTCGGACAGGCGTGAAGATCAAGGAGCCATCGATCCGCGCACGGGCGCACCATCCGGACGACATGGACGTCGGATCGTTCGGAGCCCCGAAAGGAAAAGGCAAAGGCAAGGGCAAGGACGGCAAGAGCAAAGGGAAAGGCAAGACCCAGGAGACGAAGGGGAAGAGCAAATCGACGAGCGGATCATACTCAGGCTCCCGCACATCCCCGACGGGTTCGGGCCGTGGTTCCGGGCACACGGCACCCCGAAGCACCGGCGTGCGCTTCGACGGCTACTGTCGGAACTGCGAGAGATGGGGCCACAAGGCATCCGAATGCTGGAGGAAAGAGCAGGGATCGAGTACGAGGGCTGGAACTGGATCCGCAACGGGGGCAAGCGCTGGTGGTAAAGGTGGTGGCCGCGGCGGCAAGGCCGGCGGCAAGGCTGCAGGCAGCCTGGAGGAGGAGCCTGAAGCGGAGGTCGCCGCCCTGGATATGGGCAGCTTGGATTGCCTGGAGCTCGCCGGCGGCAGCGGCCGCGGCGTAGCAGCGGTCGACCTCTCTCCCTTCGCGCAGGACGACTGGATGAAGTTCAACTGGGACAGCGGCGCAGCGGTCTCAGCATTCCCTCGGAGCTTCGCGCCGCCGACGGGATTGAAGGGCAACGGCAGCACGTATCGCACGGCCAGTGGTGAGCTTGTCCCGGACGAGGGCAGCTTGCAGCTCAAGGCGGAGGATGAGTACGGAGTGCTACGAGCGCTCAAGGGACGCGTGACGAACGTGCACAAGCCGTTGATCTCGGTGGGGCAGGCAGCAGGAGCTGGACAGTGTTCATTCCTAGGCCGCAATGGCGGCTGGATATTCCACGAGAAGAGCCCAATCGGCAAGCGTGTAGTAGGCATGCTGGAGAAGGAGGCGAAGACGGCGAAGCACCAGATGCTGCCGGTCTATCGTGAGCAGGGCGTTTACAACTTCTACCTCAAGAAGGGCCAACATGGCTCGGTTGCTCCTCTCGAGGAGGGATTTTCGGCGAAGTCGAAGTCCGAGCTGGTGGAGCTACTCAGCGGCAAGTCGAAGGAGGAGCTGCTGGAGATCCTCGAGAGGACAGTCCACAGGAGGCAGCCCTCGGCGTAAGCCCACTGGAAGACTCAATACAGCAGTCCCCTGCGGCATCGGCTGCAGGGGCAGCAGCGGCGGGGTCGGGACCTTCCGACATGAGACCGCCGGGTTTTCAGCCAGCAGCAGCTGCGGCGGCTGACGCTTTGCCAGCTGCTCCTGATGGACAGCAGGCCGACGAGGGCGAGGAGGAGGCTCGCCCGAGGGTGCTGAAGGCACCTCATGAGCCCTCTCAGAAGGAGATCGCCGAGCACGAGGCGATGGGACACGCGACTTACCGCAGCTGGTGTCGCGTGTGCATTGCGGCAAAGGGCCAAGGCCAGCCGCATCTCCGCGCACCGGAGGACGACGAGACGGCGGTGCCGGTGGTCTCGTCCGATTACGCCTTCATGGGCCAGGACGACGCGGACACCATGCCGATGCTGGTCCTTAGGGATCGACGTTCGAAGATGATGGCAGCGACATTCGTGGAGAAGAAGGGCGACGACGCCTACGCCATCAAGTTCTTCGCACGCTTCTTACGGATCCTGGGCTACAGGAAGATCGTCAACAAGTCCGACGGCGAGCCAGCGATCCTGCTGGTCAAGAGGCGTGCGGTGGAGGAGGTTCCTGGCCTCGAGGCCATTCCCCAGGAGTCGGCACCGGCCGACCATCAGGCCAATGGGGAGATCGAGGTCACGGTGCGCGAGATCAAGAAGCAGGTGCGAGCGCTCAAGATGGACCTGGAGTCCAAGCTGGGCGTCAAGGTGGAGGACAAGCACCCAGTGCTAGCGCACCTGCCGGAGCACGCCGCATCGGTGATCAACCGATACAGGCGCGGCCAGGACGGCAAGACCGCTCTTCAGCGGCTCACGGGACGGCAGTGGAGGAAGCCGGTCCCGCTCTTCGGCGAGCGCCTGATGGTGCGGTTCGCCGGGGAGCGCACGAGGAAGAACGCGCTGGAGGAACAGATGGTGGAGGCCCGCTACATTGGCCACCACCCGCGCGACGGCTCGATGATGGTCATCACGAGCGACGGTGTGAAGAAGGCGGTCGGCTTTCGCAGCCTGCCGCAGAGCGAGAAGTGGATCACGGCGGGCTGGGACAGCCTGAAGGGCCTGCCGTGGGACGTGGCTCCGCGTGCGGCCAGTGCGCCGCGAGCCATCGTCGGACCGGGAGAGGCCGGTCCGCCACCGATTGTGGTGGTGCCGCCGCAGCCGCAGGCGCCGAGGAGGATGTACGTTCTCAAGGCGGACGTCGAGCGGCTGGGCGCAACGCCGGGATGCCCAGGGTGCGTCTCGATCGCCAAGCACGGCAAGGTGCTGGCTGGCCATGCGCACAACGCGGTGTGCAGCAAGAGAATCTTCGAAGCGCTGGACGCTGAGGAGGCAGGCCGGGAGAGGACCGGCCAGTATCGAGAGCGGAGGCAGGGCCAAGAGGCCAGAGTCCGCCCGGCGGCAGCGGCCGCGGCAGGGACCCCTCCGCCGAAGACGGCTCGGAGGATCACCGAGCCAGTGGCAGCGGCGGCGTCGGCGCCGGCCGCGAGCCGATCGGCAGCAGCGCCAGCAGCAGCGGCGCGCATGCGAGAGAGCCAGCCGGGAGCATCAGGCTCCGGCGTGGCGGCTCCTTCAGGAGGAGCGAGCTCCAGTTCGGGAGCAGTGAGAGCGGCAGAGGCCGCCGAGGATGTCGACATGACCGCGACCAGGTCGCGGCTGAAGCGCTTGGCGGAGGTGGCCCCGGATGACGTGCCGGAGGCCCTCGAGCGCGGTGATCCACAGCCGGCAGACGTGCCGGTACCGGTGGACATGGAGGACCTCGCGGCGCAGCCGGCGCCAGCGGAAGGACCTCAGCTGCCAGCTGGAGTGGCAGTCGTGTGGAACGCCAGTGAGGGGAGACACATGCGGGTGCTCGCTCTCGACGTGGCGTCGTTCGAGCTGGTTGAGCTCGGAGTGCTGACGAGGGCGAAGGCGGAGTTGCTTCCGCTCGTTCACGAACAGGTCAGCGGCCATTGGGCCAGTGTCGGCGTGGACATCGCCGACGAGGAGGTGGACAGCATCGCCTTATCGGCGTTGCAGCTGGGCGCCGTGGACGCGGCAGAGGTGCACTCGCCGCATCGGTTCTCGGCGCGAGCGGCGGAGTTTCAGTTGCGCCCGGGCTTCGCGGCGGACCTGGAGGAACTCAAGGAGGACGGGACGCCATGGGACTTGCGGCG